AGTTCAAGGGCTTATATGCATCAATTACAGTCTAGGGGCTTAATAGCGATTCTGGGGTTGGTTCAGGGGCTTAACTTATGGTTTTCCCTTTAATTATCCGGAACATTCGAGGCAAGTTCCTGGATGGTCTACTCTTACCTTCTCTCTCCTTAACCTGCTCACACGCCTTCTAGACCTGACTTTACACTGGTCGTTACGACGACTTGAACGGTTGAACCACAAAGCCAACTCTGCAGCATTTTTTTTTTTTCTTGTTAGCTTTTTATCATTGAGTTTGTAGGTTTTTATTTTATCTTAAATTGTATTATGAGAGATAATATATTTTTATTTGTTTACCCATTTTATTTAAATGTATACGCATTTAAATTTATGATTTATTGCTTACAAAGAAGTAAAATTACTACTAAACTGTTAAAATTGTTAATTAATTGTAAAATATAATTAGTAGTTGTGAGGCAAGCTGCATATCCAATAGGTTTGTTTTTATCCAATGAATTACCAATTTACCATTTGTAAGATCAAAAAATTCGAGTTTTAGAAACTAAGTGTCGGTGTTGATATTTTAGTGAGCGTAACTAACTTTTAAGAAACTTTATTGAAGTCAATGATATAATTAAGTTGGTAGTAAATCTTTTTGAAAAATGATTTAATGATAATTATTTTTTGATATAATTTTATGCATTATTAAAATGATTAATTTTTTTATTTATTTAAAATCTATAATATTAAATGTATTTATTCATTTAATAACAGATAAATGTTATAAAAATAATAATATAAAAAAATTATCCTTATATCACTGTCTATTTCTTTTACAATAAAAGTAAAAATTTTTGAATTTAAGTTATTTAAAATGTGATGGAATAGATTAAATGATGAGAAAATATTATTTTTTATTGTATAATACAAGATAAAGACAAAAAATCTTAATGAATAAATGACATATATATTAGGGTTTATTTGTCAAATTTCGAAAAAAATTATAAGGAAAAATACTTCAAAAAAGATTCTTTTATTCAAACACCATATAAAATACCCTAATAACTTATTCTTGGTTTAAAGATAAGTTATTTTAGGTTTTTTAATGATAATTTGTTGAAATGACATAATTTTATGATCTTTTATTAAATTCATTATGAAACTATAATTATATATACATTTGATATTTTTAATGTTAGGACGTGTTGATTTTTTCATATATATATAGTAGGAATTCATTTACATATAAGTTTTACATATTACACTTACATAAAATCTTAATTATTTATTTTTTCACTTTCAATTGTTGAAATTTACTCACATTTATTAAAAACAATTATTTTTTACCTAAAAACTTGTGACAAATTTTAACAATAGAAAATTGAGAGTTGAATGATTGAAATTTTTTTTGTAAATATAGTGTATAAATTTTATGTATAAATGAAACCCTCTTCATATATATGTATATAAATGAGGAATCTACTTACATATAAGTTTTACATATTATATTTACACAAAATTTTAATTATTTATAATTTTACTTTTAATAGTTGAGATTTATTTATATTTATTAATTTATTAAAGGTAATTATTATTTTTATTTAAAAAATTATAAC